CAGTCGTGAGTAGCTTGCAGATTCATGAACAGCATCCTAGTATTAAATGCGGTGCTTTTTAGGGGCATAAAGTCCGTTTGATCTGGATGCACTAAGGAGGGCAAGAACAGTATTGAGGCGAATCGCCAAAACCTTGGCAAGGATTTTAATATCAGTTTGTAGCAATGAGATAGGACAATCTGAGTCCAGCATTCACAGATCCTTGCCAGGTTTTGGATTAGGACTATAAGAGCCTCATTGCATATATTATTTTTACAAATTTTTCTATTTTTATGCCTATCAGCTCTTCTTTCCATATAATATGTGTTTTTTTTTATTGTAGAATTTGTGTCATACCGATAATCTGAGGAAGTAATGTATTGTCTCGAAACTCCTCATTTAAATAAATTGTACAATTCATCTTACCCATACCCAGAACTGGCACCAGCAGAAAGCTGCTTAGGGCACCAGGATGAATCAGAATCCACAGCCACTTCCCACCGCCTCTAAACATATATGCAGCCTCCCTGAAGGCAGACTTCTTCCGTGAGGCTGTATATATGCGGACCAGTGTTTGTGGTTGGATGCACAGTCCGCTTCCAGCACAGAGACCAGGATCTTGCCGAGAGACATGGGTCTTCTTCTAACAACTGGGAACTAGGACTTCTGGTTCCCGATCACCTGATCGCTCTGACAGCCTCTGATTGGCTATCACAGTGAACTTCCACTGGTGCAGCGTGCTCATGTGTTTTTTTTTCTCCTCTGAATGGAGAGAAGGATAAATCATATCTTTCTCTCCTTGTCAGGGGAGAAAGATGTAAATAAACAAAAGTGTGTAAAAAATAATATTAGTGAAAAAATTGAAAAAATGAAGAAAAAAATAACTAGATCAAGATTTAATATAGGTCAGTGTCAGGATAAGTGTTAGGGTCCAGGTAAGGGTCAAAGGTCAGGGTCAGTATATTTTGGGTAGTTTTGGGGGGGGGGGGTTTAAAGCATTTTTTAAATAGGTTTTAGGTAAGATAAACAAAGCAAAATACAAACTGTTTTTGGGCCCTACTATGGGTACAAACAACATGTAACATACACATATGTAGTATCGCTGCGATCATCAGGAGCAGGAGAAATTATTTTGGGTTGTTCTTTGGTGGTAAGTTATGGTAATAGCAAAGTGCACCTTCAACTGTGTAGACAAAAAATCCTTTCACTTGCCCTGACCATACCTCATTTGGACCTTCCTTATCCCAGGCCTTGCGGCGAACATAACCCTCATTTATTTATCCTTAAACCTGATCTCCATGTTTCATTTACCCTTTAAATAGTTTATTTAGACCTAGCTGACATTATGGGAACATGCAAATTAGTAATATGAATATAGATGCAGCCAGGGGCGGACTGACAACTCATGGGGCCCCCGGGCAATAGGAGATCATGGGGCCCCTGTGTCCTTGGCCAAACTCAAAAAAGCCTATGAAAAAGGTACCAGGGCATCTCATGGGGCCCCCTACTGACCCCGGGCCCTAGTTTCCAAATGGTCAGTCTGCCCTGGATGCAGCTTCAGCCAATCATAGGGCGTGGTACCCATTAGCATGCTGGGTGCTGGTATTTATATTCACTGAGCACATGGGATCTGGGTTCTTCTTCCTAGCTGATCCAAATGAACAATTGACTTCACTAACAGTTGAGGAGACTGTGTGCCCTGTATATAGCCTCAGCTACATACATACAGTACACAATTATTATTATACAGGATTTATATAGCGCCAACAGTTTGCTCAGCGCTTTACAATATAATTGGAGACAATACAGCAACACTACAGTTCAATACAAAGAGGGTTCGGAGGGCCTGATCCTGGGAGCTTACAATCTAAAAGTATACAACACTGTGTTTCATGACAAGAACTTCGCGTCCCACTCAGGGGAACAAAATCAACTTGGGTTGATTGCTGCTCAGCCATTTAGAGGACACTTTGTCTTGTATTCATGATTACAAAGCTTTCTATGATTGGCTAAGGCAGAGCTTGTGACGTCATCAGCCTTCCTCTACACCAAAGCCAACTATAGAAAGTGCTGTATTCATTAATGGAAGACAAAGTTTCCTTTGAATGACTGAGCAGCGTTCAGGTTTGTTTGAGGATGGGAAGTTCTCATCCCACTGCCAGAACACAAACATTGTATACTGTATATAGTTGTTACCACATGCAGTTTAAGGGCTTGTTCACACCATGGTGCAGAGATGTCAGTTTTTTTGCACACGTTCTGCAAGGGCACAACAAGATCAATTGTTCTCTATGTGCCCTGTTCCACACCACAACACTGGTATCACATGCAGATTTCTTCTGAATCTGCAAGGTACAGTTGCAAGAAAAAGTATGTGAACCCCTTGGGATTACGTGGAGTTTTGCATGAATTGGTCATAAAATGTGCTCTGAACGTCATTTAAGTCACAACAATAGAAGAACACAGTCTGCTGAACATAATATTACACAAACATTAGATGTTGACATGGTTTAATTGCACATAACATGTAAACATTCACAGTGCAGGGAGGAAAAGTATGTGAGGCCCTAGCTTAATGACTTCTCCCAGAGCTAATTGGAGCCAGGAGTGAGCCAACCTTGACTCCAATCAGTGTGATGATATTGGATGTGTTGCTGACAGCTGTCCTGCCCTTAAAAAACACACACCTGTTTTGGGTTTACTGGTTTCAAGAAGCACTGCCTGATGGGAACCATGCCTCGCAGAAAAGAGCTCTCAGAAGACCTACGATCAAGAATTGTTGACTTGCATGAAGCTGGAAAGGGTTACAAAAGTATCTCCAAAAGCCTTGATGTTCATGTGTCCACGGTAAGACAGACTGTCTACAAATGGAGAAAGTTTAGCACTGTTGCTACTCTCCCTAGGCGTGGTCGTCCTGTAAAAATGACTGCAAGAGCACAGCGCAGAATGCTGCATGAGGTAAAGAAGAATCCCAGAGTGTCAGCTAAAGACCTACAGAAATCTCTGGCACATGCTAACATTTTTGTTGACACATCTACAATAAAGGAAAACATTTAAACAAGAATGGAGTACATGGGAGGACACCATGGAGGAAGCCATTGCTGTCCAAAAAGAATATTGCAGTACGTTTGAAGTTTGCAAAAGAGCTCCTGGATGTTTCTCAGCACTACTGGCAAAATATACTGTGGACAGATGAAACCCAAGATTGAGTTGTTTGTGAAGAACACACAACACTATGTGTGGAGAAAAAAGGCACAGCACACACAACATCAAAACCTCATCCCCACTGTAAAACATGGCGGAGGGAGCATCATGGTTTGGGGCTGCTTTGCTGCCTCAGGGCCTGGACGGATTGTTGTCATTGATGGGAAAATGAATTCCAGAGTTTGTGCAATTAAACCATGGCAACATCTAATGTTTGTGTAGTATTATGTTCAGCAGACTGTGTTCTTCTATTGTTGTGACTTAGATGACGTTCAGAGCACATTTTTATGCCAAATTCATGCAAAACTCCACGTAATCCCAAAGGGGTTCACATACTTTTTCTTGCAACTGTATATAAAACTAATTGAAGCACGCATGAAAACTGATGTCTCTGCAAGTGAAATCTGCACATCAGTTTCCATCAGTTTTTCTGCACATGTGGTGTGAACAAGGCCTAAACAGTGTACACTGCAAGGTAAATAGTTTCTGTGGAACAGCTTGGTCCACACAAAATATAATAATTTAAATAAAATATGGAGATCATCGTTTAACTTAATGCAATACTTCAAGCTACTACACTGATGTCCTCCAGGTATGGGTCCCCGGAGCATCAGGAGCAACCTAGATCAGCACTGCGTGCAGACAGCTTTATTCACCCAGGATTCCATGTCAAGGTTGCACTTGCCATAACTTTACTGGTTAGTTGCAGCCTTGCAAATATGAGTAACAATAAATTAATTAGAACTTTATTTGTAAAACATTTTCATTAGAATCTTACACTTTTTTAAAATGTACAATACATTATTTACTACACCATAAGGCTCTCTCGCTTCTTTTCTTCTTTATCTTTTTTTGTGGAGTGATTTACCCCAGATATCACATTATAGGACACAGAACAGTTTAAATAATTAGTGAAGATGAACCAATGTCTCAAAACCTCCTATGACTATAATTCAACTGATCTATGACCTTAAGTGTTTTGCATTCGATTTTCATGTACTTTCAAACCATGAGCTTTAACCACTTGGGCTACCGCTCACTTCTACCCCCTTCCTGCCCAGGACAATTTTCAGCTTTCAGCGCTGTCGCACTTTGAATGACAATTGCGCGGTCATGTGACACTATACCCGAACCAAATGTTTATAATTTTTTCTCACAAATAGAGCTTTCTTTTGGTGGTATTTAATCACCACTGGGTGTTCTATTTTTGTGCTATAAACAGAAAAAGAGTAAAATAATTTGAAAAAAAAGTTTTTCCTTTTGTTTCTATTATAACATTTTGCAAACTGGAAATGTTTTTCCTTCACTGATGTGCATTGATGAGGCTGCACTGATAGGCAGTACTGATGGACACTGATAGGTAGCACTTATGTGCACTGATGAGGTGGCACAGATAGGAAGCACTGATGGGCACTGATAGGCTGCACTGATGAGGTGGCACTGATGAGGCGGCACTGATGGGCATTGATGAGGAGGAACTGATGCTGCTGCACTGATATGCAGCAATGATGGTCACTGATAGGCAGCACTGATGGGCACTGCTGGATGACACTGACAAGTAGCGCTGACTGGCGGCACTGCTGGGCACTGACTGGCGGCATTACTGGGCACTGATGGGTGGCACTGCTGGGGGCACTGGTGGGAGGCACTGCTGGGCACTGGTGGATGCCACTGCTGGGAGGCACTGCAAGTCACTGATCATCAATGCCCTGATGATCAGTGCCGATCTTCTCTGTAACAGTTGCCGGTTATCAGCAGTACTTTCCTCACGCTGTGTCCATGTGAGGAAAGTGCTGCTGATAACCGGAAATGGTATTTACTCCATGACAGGGGCAGACTGACCATTTGGGAACTTGGGTACTGCCCAAGGGCCCTGGCTCAGTAGGGGGCCCCATGAGATGCCCCTGGTACCTTTTCATAGGCTTTTTTTGGGTGTGGTTTGATTGTGGGCGAGGACACAGGGGCCCCATGATCCCCTATTGCCCGGGGGCCCCATGAGTTGTCAGTCCGCCCCTGCTCCGTGATCTGCTGTGTCAGTGGACACAGCTGATCATGTGGTAGATGGTCGCTGTGATTGGCCTTTTACCTCATCATGTGATCAGCTGTGTCCATAGGACACAGTGATCACGGAGATCGCCCGGTGCGCGTCGCTGCGGGGCGCACGGGAGGGCGCATTCTGGGAGGACATCATATGACGCCCTTTCTGGAACTGGGTAACCGTGCTGTAGCTGCCATTCGGCAATAGTGCAGTTAGCAATTGTTTAATAAGATTAAAGTGCTATTAAACCCAAAACCCAAAAATGTAATATATTGCAGCTTACCAATCATTAAATGTGGTGACTGCATTTGTTTTTTTTTGTTTAGGTTAATTCCTCCTGTTTTCACCTGGCGATCTGGCCATTAACACATCTCCTGTATTAGAGTGCCCCCACTCTGTATGAAGGAGCACAGGAGGCCCCTTTGGACAGCAGCATTGTCAGTCTGGGGGGAAGGGGTGTTAGATGTCTTAGCAGATTTAGATACACTAACAAAGTGAAGTCAAAATCCAGCTAACACTTTATAACACTTTATAGTGTTACAGCAGCAATTTTTTTTTTACATAAATAAATAATAAGAAATAAATAAATATTAACGTCGATCATTGCAGGCACCCCTGTCAGTGTTAAATGTTTTTTCTCCTGCCTGTAACTAGATGCATCTGCAGGACAACTTGTTCTTTTGAAAAACAACAGATTTACTGGCAAGATCACCAGATGAAAAAAGAAGAAAAAAGCCTAAAAAAGATAACTAATGCAGCCATCACATCTATGAATTGATAAGCTGCAATATAAATAAGGTTTAATACTGCTTTAATTAAATTTTTAAATCTGAACTCCAGAAATTATCTTTCTTTTAAATTATATTGGACAAGCTTGTTGAGACCCAGTTCTTTAAAGCGGAACTTCACCCCCCCACCACCACCACCAAGTTTGGCGTATCTTTTTTTTTTGGGGGGGGGGGTACCTAGTTTTGAGAGTCTTCTCTCCTCCTCCCTTCCTGCAGTCTTCTGGAACACATCACAGGTCCGAAAAAGACTGAGGGGCCATTCACAAACTGCAGCACAGCTCATGCATGCAAAGTGAAGCTGAAGCAGCACAACCGGCTGCCAACAGTTAGGATGCCAGTGAAGAACTAGCCCGGGTGAGGATGGCACTGGATTCCTGGACAGGTAAGTGTCCTTTAATTAAAAGTCAGCAGCTACAGGAGTTGTTCTGGTGGCCATCAGTGAATGTCTCCCAGCAACCAGCTTATTTTAGTAATTAGGCTGCACCTGATTCTGGCCGTTGGGAAGGTATTTAATCCCTCCCTTGATGAAGACTGGTGTTTCAGTGTTTTACCTGTGAGTCATGTTATCGTATCTTGTACCCTGCACCCAGTATCCTGTTCCTTGCATCCAGTATCCTGCATCCTGCTCCTCTTCCCTTGTTTCCTATCGCACTCCTGACCCTGCCCTGTTCATGTGAGCTCCCTCCATCATGTATATAGTGTTTGTTTGTTAGTTAAGTTGTTGTTCTAGGTTTGCTGTACGTTTATTTTTTACTTTTACATTGTTTATGTTTGTTGGTGTTGGAAGGGTGCTATTTATGTTAGAAATTTTATTCGATCATACTTGGACTGGTTCCTGATTCCTTGAGGTGTAGCCCACTGATCTGGTCATCCCTGCTGGATACCTACATTTGGTATTCCTTACAAGTTCTTATCAGACTAATTATAGATTTATATAGCCCCATGAATGGCCTCATGAATAAAGAGCGGTGTTGCCTCCAAAATGTGTTGGCTGTTTTCCTGTGATCAAATTTGAAGCACCTTCTTAGATAGGTGCTAGGATGTAGATAGTTGAGAATAGCATAATATGGTCTTCTGCTTATCAGGAGATTGTTATGGGGAGAGTGGTGCCCCTAAGCATGCTGGGTGCTGGTATTTATATTCAGTGAGCTTCTGAGAAGGGAGTTCCAGCCAGGTTGAGGCAGCTGCTTCCTCGGCACATGCTGCTAAGAGGTCTTGGGTCAGCAACCTGAGGGCCAGGACACTGAAACCCAGGGTGCTTCTGAGAGCTGACTGAGGGGGATGTCTACAGATCCTGTCTGGTATCACGGAGGAAGATGACCTGCAGCAAGGGCCTTGGGCATACAGACCATCCAATTAGGGATCCTGGGACTTGAGCTGTTTAACCCCCTCAGGATCTACAGTACATAGTCAGCTGCTGGGTGTAAGCTGAAGTGTCAGCTGGTGTCCCGAAGAGCAGTCGTCCATTTAGTTTCTACATTTCTACAAAAGGACTTTGCTCCATTCTTTGTACAGTCTGCTACACAGTTCTACTAAGAAAATGCACAGATACACTTAGAGAAAGCTGTCCTTTTGTGTGAATAGTTCAGTTCAGAGTATCCCACTCAGGGGCGGACTGACCATTCGAACACTCAGGCTCTGCCCGAGGGCCCGGGGTTAGTAGGGGGCCCCATGAGATGCCCCTGGTACCTTTAATTAGCTTTTTCATAGGCTTTTTTGGGTGTTGGTGAGGACACAGGGGCCCCAAGATCCCCTATCGTCCGGGGGCCCCATGAGTTGTCAGTCTGCCCCTGATCCCACTATAGCCCTTCCCCATCCCAGTTCTACAACAAAAACAGCAACAAAAACTACAACCCCTATGCTGATCATTGGAGTAACGAGCGGAAGTTATGTGTTATTGGTGAGGACACAGGGGCCCATGATCCCCTATTGCCCGGGGGCCCCATGAGTTGTCAGTCTGCCCCTGATCCCACTATAGCCCTTCCCCATCCCAGTTCTACAACAAAAACAGCAACAAAAACTACAACCCCTACGCTGATCATTGGAGTAACGAGTGGAAGTTATGTACATCTGGCTATAGGAAATACTGTGTGCTTGACTAAGGTTGAAGATTTGGGGGAAGGCTTGGGAAAAATACCAACGGCTCCTATGGAGGTAGTGCTACAAAATTATAAACAATAAAGGAATCTCGGACTCTTTTTACATTCTGCTTCAGTGATCGTTTCTGTATGCCTATATTTTAATGGGGTTTGATTGAGAGCTGCCTTACTAGAGCCAGTCACCGTATTTAAAATCTTTCTTGCACCTGATCATTTACATACGCTTTGAAATGCCACCACCTCTCAATTATGTCTTCCAGGAACTGCAGGGTGACTACCTAGATTTTAGAGTGAGTTGACATGGTTTCAGTACTATTTAAATTGCTATTTGCTATAATGCTATTTAAAATGCTATAGTTAACCAGCAGACTAAATAGCAAAGTCTTTCTTTACTGTATCTCCACAGTTTCCAAGTATGCCCGCAAGGTATTGATGTAAAATCACAATAGCTAATAAACGTATAAAAAGGATGCTTGAGTAAATGCAGAGATCCAGTGAAATGTTATAAAAAGAACATGTGGAGACAGGACAATACCAAACTAGCTGGTGAATGGCCCTTCTGTGGTTTTCAAAGACTCTTTTGTGCACTGGTTAACCATAGCATTTTTAGGTTCAATTTGAATATTTATAAAAATACTGAAGGGAACTTGGAAACAATTCGATTTTAATGAGACAGATTAAAAATGATGTTTTAAGGAGTGCCGTGTGTTCTCTGGGTAATGAAGAAAGATGAGGGGGATAACATGATCCATGCCCCAGCTCTTCCAATTGATGAATCCGGTGTCAGGGAAATAGACACGTTTATTTTTATGTCAAAGAAATAAAGTAAATCATATTTTTACAAAAGAAATGTCTTTAGTAGTAAAAAAAAAATGATCTGCACTCCAAGTGAGAAACAGAGAACATTTGCCGCGGTTGCTCTTTCATTCTTGCCTTTCCGCTTTAATGTCATCAATTTCTTTAATATCAAGATGAGGAGGGTGAAACTGCTACTGCTGCAGATTTGATAACTAACGGAGCTGGCCACCATGTCAGAGACATTCCTTTTTTAAAATTTTGAAAAATTAGATTTTTTTTTTTTTAGAGAGTAGAAGCCATTTGGAGAAAGATTTTACATTTTTTAACCACTTGAGCTGTGGAAAGTTTTACCCGCTTCATGACCAGGCTTTTTTTTTTTGCTATTCGACACTGCTCTATTTTAACTGGCAATTGCGCAGTCATGCAGCACTGTGCTCAAATGACATTTATATCATTTATTCACACAATAGAACTTTCTTCTGGTGGTATTTGATTGCCAGTGGGTTTTTTATTTTTCATTATATAAGTGAAAAAAGATGAAAATATGGAAAAAAACACAATATTTTGTGTTCTAAAACCTGCAGTAAATAAACAATCACATTTCTTCATAAATGTCAGCCAAAATGTATTCTGCTACATGAGATGAACACAAAAATAAAAAATCCCAATAAGTGTATATTAATTGGTTTGTGTGAAGGTTATAGGGGGAAATTTACTAAAACTGGTGCACACAGAATCCGGTGCAGCAGTGCATAGCAACCAATCAGCTTCCAGGTTTTATTGTCAAAGCCTAATTGAACAAGCTGAAGTTAGAAGCTGATTGGTTACTATGCACAGCTGCACCAGATTCTGTGTGCACTAATTTTAGTAAATCTCTCCCATAGTGTCTACAAACTATGATATATATCTATATATATATATTATATAATGAAAATTGATCAGTTCTGATATACTAATGGCCTGTCTCCTTTCTTGAGGCCCTAAAATGCCAGGACAGTACAATTACCACCCAAATTACCCATTTTTGGAAAGTAGACAGTCCAAGATATTTAGTAAGAATTTTTGAAGTTGTAGTTTTGTGTCACTCAATTTTTTGGAAGATGAAGATCTTGAATCAAATTTTAGGTTTTTTTTCACATGTTTTTTTGCTGTCACCATCATATGACTGGTGTGCTGGTGATCAGGTATACTGACTGATGACAATATGTTAAAAAAATAATAATATTTTTTCATTTAATAAAAAAAAATTTTTTCAATGGTTTTAACATTTTCTTTTCTTTCTTTTTTTTAACATCCTGTCATCAGAGTAGCTCAGTGTCACTGTAGTAACACTGTACCACTCTGGAGGGGGGAATCAGGGATTTTTTTTTTTTTTTTTACAGTGAAGATCACTGTATAAACAATAGCTTTAGCTGTCATTAATGGGTTTCCCATTCATGAATAGCTTGCTTTTGATTATGATCTGTGATTGGCTAAGATAATCACATGGTACAGGTAGCCATGGTACCATGTGATTGCTGTGGGCCATTTACAGATCATAACAGTAAGCAAGCTGTTCATAAATGGAGTACTATTCATGACAAGTTTTTTTATATTGCTATCATGTGATCCATATGACTAATTATAGTGTTTCCATGATACCCGGTTACTGGATGCTGATAACAGTGATTCACTGTGTCCGGTGGATGCAACAGTCACAAGAGGGGCGCACTAGCTGTTCTCAGTCTTTCAAGTTAAATGAAACCCAGCATCAGTTAACTTAGAAGAATAGTTTCTTGCTTTATGTGAGTGCAAGAAATGATGGAACCACCCCCCAGTGGAGCATCACTAAGGCACACTGCATGCACATCATGTAATCATACAGAGGGTGATTCTGATGTCATCACATCAGCACCACTTTGTGCATCATTGAAGATTGCCCATGGATGGAGAGCGTTCAAAGAGGACCCATGGGGGTTTATTTACTAAAGCTGGAGAGTCCAAAATCAGACTCCCTTCTGCATAGAAACCAATCAGCTTCCAGGTTTCATTGCCAAAGCTTCATTGAACAAGCTGAGGTTAGAAGCTGATTGGTTTCTATGCAGAAGGGAGTCTGATTTTGGACTCTCCAGCTTTAGTAAATAAACCCCATGATGTCTGTGTGCATGTGTGTGTGTATACATGTGTCTTTATGTGTGTATATGCATATGTGTTTGTGTGTATGTACCCGCATCTGTGTGTGTATATGTACATGTGTTTGTGTGTATGTACGTGTGTGTGTGTACATATGTGTGTGTGTGTGTGTATACATGTGTTTGTATGTGTGTGTGTGTGTACATATGTCTGTATGTATGTGTATGTACATGTTTGTTTGTGTGTGTGTGTGTGTGTGTGTGTGTAAATGTATCTGTATGTGTGTGTATGTACATGTGTGTGTATGTACTGTGTCTGTGTGTGTGCACTTGTGTGTATGTACATGTGTATGTATGTGTACATGTGTCTTTGTGTATAAATGTGTCTGTATGTGTTGGTGTGTGCCAGGGGCGGACTGACAACTCATGAGGCCCCCGGGCAATAGGGGATCATGGGGCCCCTATGTCCTCACCCACACTCAAACCACACCCAAAAAAGCATATGAAATGTACCAGGGACATCTCATGGGGCCCCCTACTGACCCTGGGCCCTCGGGCACCGCCCGAGTTCCCCAATGGTTAGTCCGTCCCTGGTGTGTACACTATGTGTATGTACATGTGTCTGTGTGTGTACATGTGTCTGTATGTGTGTTTATGTACATGTGTCTGTGTGTACATGTGTCTGTGTGTGCATGTGTGTACATGTGTCTGTGTGTACGTGTCTGTATATGTGTGTGTGTACATGGGTCTGTGTGTGTGTGTACATGTGCCTGTATGCATGTGTATGTATGTGTGTGTGTGTGTACATGTGTCTGTAAGTGTGTGTGTATGTACATGTGTCTTTGTGTATGTACAAGCGTCTGTATGTGTGTGTGTGTATGTGTCTGTATGTGTGTGTGTAAACATACATGTATGGGTGGTTTGGACAGGTCCAGGATGATGTGGATATTATGGGTGGTAGAGTATGGGGCATTTGAGGTACTGCTGGGTTGGATAATAGGTAGATTTGCTGATATGCTTGGTAGAGTTATGGTTTGGTGAGTGAGAGATTATGGGGGGTTATGGTTGTATGCAGTGCATGGTCTAAGTATGATGGAGTGTTTAGGGGGACATTGGAGGCCCTGATGTAATGTCGGGGGACTCTGGGGACTCTGATGTAATGTGGGGAACATTTAATAGTGTCATTTTATGAGATAATTTATAAGAGCGTGTTTAGGAAGGAATTAGGGGCGGGGCAGGATAGGGTTTGGGTGGGGCAACTGGTGGTGAGTAACTCTTTAAGGCCTGGCTAGTAGCTCAGGACTTGAAATATATATATATATATATACAGTATATTTACAATGCCCTTATACATACAGACTACAATATAGTGCTAATTCGTAAGTGCAGTGCTCCACAGCATCCAATCATGCATTCTGCTGGATTAATTTCACTACAAAGTGGTTCTGATGGGTTGCTATGGGTTCTTACACTTACAGATGCAATCTCCTAAATTTAATTTATATCAGAATACCTTTGAGAGAAAAAAAAAAAAGAAAGAGGTGACCTTTTTTTTTGTCTAATATCAATATTTTTAAATTTTTGTAGAATAATTTTTGCTGAAAACTGTGTATCAGATACTGAAAATAGTATTTTCTTTACTGCAGCCTCATGGCTGCGGGAATAGAAAACTTTTCTTTATATATCTGGAATAACTATTGGAGATAATAACACACACTGCATGGACGGTATTTCTTGCTCACCAGTAAATCAACTGTTCTTTAGTGATCCGTAGTACAATAAATATTCGGATTGTCTGTAGGAATTTAAGTGACATTCTCTGGAATAGAACATTTTTTTTGTAATGAAAGAATTAAAAAAAAAGAAGGGAGGGGGGTAGAGAGATTCATAAATATGTTGTTCCTAACACCAACCTATGTTCTATTTTTCTTTGCTAGTACTCAGGTTATTGTGTTGACTGAGGTGAAACTTCCAGAATTCTATTTTTCGTCTCTGTGCCTTAAAACAGTATTGACTGAGAACACCACTCTAGGAATGCTATTGTGCCACGCCAATAAAGGTAGAATTGAACTGTTTTGGTTTGTGTTAGACGAATCTTGGGATAGAAATCAACAGTACAAATGTACAAAACATAGATTTTTTACTTAATACCATTGGTATTAATTATTCTTTATTTTTATTTTTTTCTAGTACTAGTAGTAGTAGCAAAGTATGCGTTAGAGATTGCATGTGCGAATTGCACTACAAGAACAATATTTTTTCATTGTGGCTCAATACATGTGTGTTTTATTTAGATAGAACAAGGCTAAAGTTTGAAGTGAGACCATTCATTTTTCTAGAAAAATTATACTGATTTTAAATTTTTAACAAAGCTACAGAGATTCAGAATACTTTGTGAGTAACATTTGACATCATAGAAGTATGGTTTTTGGCTTTTTAAAAAAACATACTTACCTAGGTGGATGCTGCATTTGTCCCCCACCGGCTCAAAGGATGAGAACTGAGCAATCAAACACCATTGATCGTATAGCTCTCACAGCCACTCTGAGCAGAGAGCATTGACTGTCAGTCACCGCTCTCTGATCTGCCCCCCCACCACCACCTTCCCCAGCAAAACGCCGGGCTGTGGTGGGGGCGGGAGTGGCTGGCTCAGGCTCTCAGCAGCTTGCTGAGAGGCTGAGCCAAGTGACGGTCCAGGCTCCTGGGTGGATCCCGACCATATGGTCAAGATCTTTCCCCAGCCTGGACCAGCTCTGTGACATCAACCAATAGCAGGCTTTAACCCACTGTCAGCTGAAAATGGGTCACAGGAGTAGTAGTAGTAGTAGTAGCAAAGTATGCGTTAGAGATTGCATGTGTGAATTGCACTACAAGAATATATAGTATAAAGAGTATAGCTACATGCATAGCACTTTAACTGGCAATTGCTCAGTCATGCAGCACTGTACCCAAGTGAAATGTATATATTTATTCCACACAACCATATGACCAGTGTTTCGGGATACTGACTGGTGACAGTATGCCAGTATGTAAAAAAAATATTAACTTATTATTAAATTTTTTAAAAATTGTTTTTAATTTTTTACAATTTTTTTATATACTGTCATCAGAGTAGTTCAATGTCACTATACTGACACTGTACTAATCTGGGGGGCTGATCAGGGATTTTTTTTTACACTGTGATTGCTTATGATCATTGTTAGAAGCAATCATTTTAACTGTCATGAATGGCTTTCATTCATAACAGCTTGCTTACTATTGTGATGCTGTGATTGGCTACAACTATCACATTGTACAAGGCTGCTGTGAATGGCTAGTAATAGTAAGCAAGCTTACTACAGTTTTGTTTACATGTTGTTATGTGATATCTATGATTGGTCATAGTGCACACATGATACCCCAGCCGCTCACAGCAACGTTGTACATGAATGTGTATGATTTCAATATTGGTGGGCATGGAAACCCTCCAAATTTCAGATAATATTCCAGGTTATAAAACATCCTATAAGAAAAATAAATTAATGAGAGTACCACAGTCCATAATAGAAGCTCTTTACAAAGGAAAAGAGAAGAAAATCTAATACTGATTTTTACAGCCTAGTATTTTTGGGTTACATACAATGCAAGGATAAATCAATACCTAAATCACCTAACATTCCTAACTGGACAGCGAGGGGTGAGCTTTCCTGCCCCCCTCCCTAAGTTTATGTGTAGGTTGGCCCATTTCTTTGTTGGTTTCTTCTTTTGACATTTTTCTCTTTGTTTCCTTAGGTATCATGCTTACTGTGGTTCTGTGTTGTCCATGGTGCTCTTTGGAATTGGTTATGAGTGCTTGCCATAGCAGCTGGCTGGGGTCGCAGGGTCTTCAAAGGCGGTAGAGGTTTGGTAAATTTGGAAAATAGTTTGGTTGGGCCCATCACTGGTATGGGTGTACCTTCCCTATTTAAGCTAAGGCATTAACGTACTAATGGTTGTGGGGCTGTAGCGAGGATGGATTGATAATTTAATTTTCCTTGAGCAGGTGTAGTTGCGGCTGAGGGCCTTTAGGTAGAATTGTAGGAGCTACAGCCGGTTGGTATAAATAAAGGTGCCTTCCAAGACCATAGACCTAAAAGAGGTCAGTCTTTGTTAGGATGGTTGTAATAATTTCTATAATGAAAAATGTTTGAAAAAAGGTTGTATTTTGTAAGTTTGTATGTTGTTATTTAATAAATGGCGGGTATGGCCTTTTCAACCCCAAAAACCAATGTTTCCAGTGGTTTGCTTTAGGAAAAAGGGGAATTTGGATGGGAGGGGGAAGGACTTAGTAAAGTCCACACAGCCGCAATACATAGCAATACCTTGGTCATGAATGTGAATCATGGACAGGACAGGAAGGCAAAGAATGTGCTACTGTAAGAAAAATGTAATAAACAGCTGACAGTGTGGGAAAATAATGTAAAAAAAAAATTAAAAAAGCAATACAGTAAAGTAATCTTTAATTGTACAGTCTAGGCTTGCCAGCTACCATTTTCTGTTCAGTGACACCACCTTATTGGTCAACATGGCATTGCCATTAGTCTGTGGAATGGCATTTAGTTGAGCTTATCCATGAAATAAGGAAATGTCTTATCCCAGTAACAATGTAAATCCAAATCAGAAAAGGGCACAGAAAGGACTTTTGTGGCTAATAAGGTCTCATGCCCACATACTGTATGGTTTGAGACCTAAAATATCTTCTAATATAAAATCCAGGCATATTTTCTGACCCAGAGAACCGCAGGTGGTGCATATAGCCAACCATATAAGTGGATGGCTGCATGTGGCTGCATTCTGGTGTATGTTGTTGCTTTCTTGCTTAAGCGTAAATATGTGCATGCACTTATGACATATTCACTGAATGCAGAAATTTTGATTATGGAGACTACACACACATGCACGTGTTTATGATGATGCAGAAAAGCATCAGGACCTGACAAAGCTGAGTGAGATACGCACATCGGCGAAACGCGTTGACGTCATATGTCAGATACGTCACTTCCGGTCATGCGCATTGGCGTTATACACGCTGACCTACAAGGAGGCGGCCATTTTCACATGCCATGAGCCATGCAAAGCTGTACAGGCGCCATGGAGAGAATGGAACCCGCGAGATGTCGGCTGATGTAAGCGGTTGTTCCCTGGATCAACACGGCAGTACATGTGAAGGACATTTCCATTATTTACTACCCATGGCACAGGTGGTGAGTGGACTGTTACAAGAATAACAAAGAAGGCTTCTTGTTACTTATTAAATTACATCAGAGTGGGAGTACCCAGATTGACTGTCCTTATATTATTTGTCTTATTTCAGGATGGGGACATTATGATGCATTACCTAGATGCAAGGCATACAGCATATATTGGAACAAACGGAAGACCCATTGGGCCTCATTCTATCACGTATATTAAAGTGGTATATAGTCCACACGTTGTGGTGAAGAAACCATATAAAGCAGGGCTCTGCTATCTATATTTATTATTCCATCAAGACATCAACAGGGACTTTTTCATCTATAAGAATTTTTGCAACTATTTGCATCTACCAAGGGTAGATGGGCCCCAACCACATGTG